CTTACTTATCAGCTTTGGATTTTTATTTCAGTTGTTTCATTTACAGTAAGGGGTCCACTAGATGGATTCTCGAATTGTAAACTTATGGAGTTTTGGATTATCGGATCTAATTAATTATGATATAAGGATTTTCTTTTAGTTTCTTTTAGCTTATTATATTATTTCGTATTTCACTTTGTATTCTGTGTTTGATTTAAAATACTTTAATTGTTCGATATCCCTCGGGTTTGGGCCTGGGCCTGATCAACCCGTGTCTCGGATCCGAGGGGTATCACACTGTAGGCTGACTCCCTTCAGGCGAACCAGTCTGCCACCTTTCAGAAGAGGGTGAGTGTTTTGGAGGCTTCCCTTGCCGAGGAGAAGAGGAAGAAGATCCAATAGCTTAAGTCAATTGAGTATTTTGATAAGAGAGTTAAGGAACTTGAGCGCAAAGCGGCTGAGCTTGACTTACAGATCGGGAAGGCGAACTCTCTTATTCAAACCTGCAAGGATGGGGGTTTAGAGATGTTTAACCAAAGGCTTCAGGCTTGGTTTTGCTCAGGGGCAACTTCCTTCTGAGGAAAGAGATTACAGTGATGCTGACGAGCATAATGCCGAGCAGGGGCTCTTGGTTACTGGTGAATATGCTGAGCCCTCTGCTGGCCCTAGAGAGATTGAGTTTGCTGCTCTGCTAAAGGGTGAGGTGGCTGCTGAGGTTCTGCCTCATCTTCAATATCCCTCGGGCTCTCAGGGGTTACTTGCTCTGTCGCTTGATGCCCCTTCCTCTACTCTAACTAGGGTAGAGTTGGTTGATACTTTTACTCAGAGGTTTAATGCGGAAAGTGGAGCTGATCCTGAGAGTGATCCTGCGTAACTCCTCGTTTTTTTTTAGGTTTTTTGTTTTGAGGTGTTGGGTATGTCCTGCCTCTTTTGTAGAAACTCCCTCCTTTTGAGAATATAGAAGTTTCTTTTGCAATCTCTGGGACCGTTTTTGCTTGAGTTCTTGCTTGTGAGTTGATCTTGATGCATTTGTCTATTTTGCGATCGGTTCTTGTGGCCGTTCGGCTTTTTAGACTTGATCAATTTTCTGATCAAATTTGATCGGGCGTTCGGTTCTTGTAACCGTTTGGCTTTTTGGACTTGATCAATTTTCTAATCAAATTTTCTACTAGTCAGGTTGAGATCGCCTTCACCCGTTTTTACGGTCGGTTCTCGGACTCTTGAGGTCCGAAGATGAATTTTATTCCTCGGCAACTCCTTGTGCCTTAGAGGAATTTTTTGAGGTCTTCGGACTTTTGAGGTCCGAAGATGATTTTATTCCTCTTTGCAGCTCGTTGTGCCGTAGATGAAATTTGAAATCCTCGGACTCTTAAGGTCCGAAGACGAATTTTATTCCTCAACAGCTCTTTGTACCTTAGAGGAATTTGAAATCCTTGGTCTCTTGAGGTGCGAGGACGAATTTTATTCCTTGGCAGCTCTTTGTGCCTTAGAGGAATTTGAAATACTCAGACTCTTGAGGTCCGAAGACGAATTTTATTCCTTGACAACTCTTTGTGCCTTAGAGGAATTTGAAGTCCTCGGACTCTTGGGGCCTTTTCCTGTTTCGTGATCGGCTCTTAGGGCCGTTCGGCTTTTTGGGACTTGAGCAGTTTCATTGGTCAAGCCTAATTGGGTGTTCGGCTATTGGGGCCTTCGCCAATTTTGCGATCGGCTCTTGGGGCCATTCGGTTTTTTGGGACTTGAACAGTTTTACTGGTCAAGCCTAATTAGGTGTTCGGCTCTTGGGGTCATTCGGCTTTTTAGGACTTGAACAGTTTTACTGGTCAAACCTGATTGGGCGTTTGGCTCTTGGGGCCTTTGCCTATTGTGTGATCGGCTCTTGGGGTCGTTCGGCTTTTTGGGACTTGAACAGTTTAACTGGTCAAACTTGATTGGGCGTTCAGCTCTTGGGGCCTTTGCCTATTTTGCGATCGGCTTTTGGGGTTGTTCGGCCTTTTGGGACTTGAACAGTTTTACTGGTCAAGCCTGATTGAGAGTTTGGCTCTTGGGGCCTTCACCTATTTTACGATTGGCTTTTGGGGCCGTTCGGTTTTTTGGGACTTGAACAGTTTTACTGGTCAAGCCTGATCGGGCGTTCGACTCTTGGGGCCTTCACCTATTGTGCAATCGACTCTAGGGGCCGTTCGACTCTTGGGGCCTTCACCTATTGTGCAATCGACTCTAGGGGCCGTTCGGCTTTTTGGGACTTGAATAGTTTTATTGGTCAAGCTCCCTCTTTCTGGTCTCAGAACATGGCTGTTTTTTTTTTTTTTTTTTTTTTTTTTTTTTTTTTTTTCCTACTATGGTGGGTCTAGGCTAGCCATGGTTGTTTTTAAATTTTGTTTCTACTTTGGTGGTGGTTGTTATAGTGTTGTTTCGAGGTGGTTATGGTGGTGTCTAAGTTATCATGGTGTTTCAGTTTATTATTATTATTATTATTATTATTATTATTTTTATTGTGGTAGTAGTTTTGGTAACGTCTGAGTGTGTTGGTGGTGTTGTCTTGGTGTAGTGATAGTTTTGGTGGTGTTTCAGACGTATAAGTATGAGTTGGCCATGTCTGTTTTCAAATTTTTTTTCTACTATGGTGTACGGGTGTGGTGGTGGTAGTTTTGGTGGTATACAGTTATCTGGCTATTTAAAAAAAAAAAAAAATAATTCTTTTTTCTTTTTTAGTTTTTATTTTTATGTTGTGGTGGTGGTGGTTATGGTGGTATAAGTATTGTTATATATAAACTATATCTATGTGTATTGAAGAGATGAAGATGTTACTTTAGTCCATTAAATTTTGCTAGGAGGTTAAATTTGTAATTTTATGATTTAAATAGAGTTGTTGAAAAGTCAAAGGGTTAAAAGGTAATTTCATATGATTTCAGAGGTCTAGAGGGGGTGTCAATGCACATTTTTGAAACTTCAAGGAATGTCAATATAAAAAAAGCCATTGACCATTCACTGAGTGGCGTTGATCAAAACCTAAATCTCAATGCAATTTACCCTAAACCTTTTGTTACATAGGTATATGTGATTGATGCTCATCAACATGATAATTGTGCCTTTAAAAAGCTTTGGCAAAAATAAGATAAGGTCATGGCTATGTGAGATTTATTTAACTCTGAGAAATAACAAAACTAAACTGATCCAAGTTTGATTTGTATTTGCCAAAAGGAGGAATGCTAACTGTAGTTGCCCAAGGCGACTACAGTTCCACAGTCGCTACACGTGTCGGCAGCATATTGGATGCTGATTTTTGTTAATATTTTTATTTTTTTGTGTTTCGAGCCAGTCTCTTTCACTCTCTCCGTTCTCTTACTCTTTTACTCTCCGGCGGTCTCCTTCACTCTCCGCTCTTTTTTTTTTCTCTACTCACCCTCTCAACCCAAAATCTATAATCGGAGCTCAAGTCTGTGTGCGGCATGGAGAAAGAACCAAACCCATATAAGAAATTGTAGGAAAATCAGAACCCAAAATCAATTGGATTGAGTTTGAATCTTGGATGGATATTTTGGAAGAGAGACCCAAAAAAAAAAAAAAAAAAAATCAAATGATGCGGTGGTTGGTGGTTGGAGGTGGTGGTTCGCCAAAGGGTGGTTTGCTGATTTGTTAGGATTCGGCAGACCCCTCGTTAACGACTTCGGCGCAATTGTCGCAGTCCAGCACCACCAACTGAGTTTCTAAATTACAGACCGGCGGTGTAGACGGCACATGTTATTTGCCGGTCGCCGGAGACTTTCAAGTAGGGAAAGAGAGGGGGTAATAGAGAGAAAAGGAGACAAGACCTTTGTCAGGCGTGTCTAGCTCAAAAAAAAAAAAAAAAAAAAAAAAAAATATCCAACGTCAACAGCCAATAGGCTGTTGACACGTAGTGACTGTGGAATTACAATCACCCAAGGCGATTGCAGTTAGCATTCCTCTTTGAAAAATTGTTAGGGCATAACTTAGTTGATGGGCAAATTGAAATGTTAGCTCAAGGTAGACTCTCACATTCACGTCAAATGTATGCTAAAATCTTCGAGCTTGGGTTGTGTTGGAGTTAGAAAAATAATTATCCTTCCCTATGGAAAAAAAAATTAAAACATATTTCCTCCATTTCATATTAGATGTCTATGCTTAGAAAGTAGAATTTTTAAAGGGAAATGCAATTAATGTATTGTCCTCCTTTTAAAATCACCAACATGTCTTTTTTAGTTTAGATATGTATAGTTATCAAGCTTGAAATTTTTTGAAAATATAAAGAACAATGATGAAAAGATGAAACTTATTTGCTTTAATTTTTCAAAGTGGATAACTAATTTGAGACATCTAAAGAAGAGACAGTGAAATTCTAATATGGGACAGAGATTATAAAATATTTCGAGAACACTAGATCTTATATTTCTTGAGACATCATTGTCAAATCACTTGAACCAATCCCTTAGAGTTGATTAAATAAAAATTTATTAATTAAATATTAAATAAAAATTTATTAATTAAATAGTTCACATCACTACAATGAAAAATAAAAAAATAAAAAAAATTAAGTTCTCACCATATATGAAGTCGGGTTACAATAAGATTTTAACACCAATCATCAAACACGATTTGGATCGAGTTGGTTCAAGTTGCTTAATACCTCAACTCTAGTCCGACCAAATTATATTTGTGTTGGCGTTATTAAGTCGAAGCCTAGTTTTAGTAAATCTAGTTAGGTTTGGGTTGTCAAATTTTCTATTCCTACAAATAAATATTTTATTAAAACTAAAAACTTGTTGGGATTATTTGATTCCATAATTTTAAAATTAAAATTTATTTTAATATTCTTAAAATAGAAAGTATTTTTTAAGTAAAATTGCAGTGTGAAAAAAAAAAACTCTAGCCTATTTATAACATATATGAATAAACAATAATAATAAAACGTTTACAGACACGACGTCGTTGTACATTGATTCCGAGAAGATCTTGCCTTGGACTTCGCTTTGGTCATATACACAGGCGGGCGCGCACCCACATACACACGCATAAATACACACATCACCTACATCACTCTCGCTGCGCATCCTGTTTCTGAATTTTTCTCAATATAGGGAAAGGGTTGGAAGATCCCACAAAAGGAAAACCAAGAAAAGATCAGCAGGCAACGAGCAGAGCAAAATGTTCTACAGAGGGTAAGATTGCTACTTTGTCTCGCACCTTCTCAAAATTTTTTCTTTTACTTCTTTTTCCTGATTATCTAGGTTTAAAATTTTCTTCGGGTCGCTCTTATATATATATAGATATATGTATACATACATATATTTAAATATGTATGCATATCTATGTGTACATTTCTGTATGCATATACACATGCATATATTGCACACATTCTCAAGCAGGAAGTATAAATTTTGATTATATTTGAGACACCCAGAAGCTAAATTTTCGTTTCTCTGATTTTCGTTCATTCTCGGGAGGTTTTATGTTGCTTCGATTTGAATTGTACAAGAAAGAGAACCTAAAATACTTTTAATATTATCTTAGGGTTGAGAAAGAAGGAACGAAGTGAATCATTTAGATTTTCTGACAAGAATTGTAAATTGAGAATTCAATTGAAATCAGTGTACCATTTGAACTCTTAAATTTGAGTTTAATTAAGATACCTAATACTAATAGTTTTCTTACCCCCCTCCTTTTATTTATTTATTTATTTTTAATTTTTTTTTTTTTTTCTTCCGTGGAAAAAAGTTTGACTTGATTTGTGGCTAGTTTACCATAAGTGGATGTTGTTAATGGTTTAAGTGGATCATATTGATGGCTGCAATTCACTAATTTAATTTTGAAATAAAGAGGAATTTTAAGCTCCAACATGATCTGTAAAGTTAGAGGTTTTCTTCTGTCTTTTGGGTTCCACATTACTTTTGTTTTAAGATTTCATAAAAGGAATTTTTTTTTTTTTTTTTTTTTTTTTTGGTGTATTCTCAAAACAAATTGATACTATTTGACAGTCTATGAGTATATTACCAATGTGATGCTCATCATATGTTTCTTTCATTGTGGGAGTGAAGTCGATACATGGATGGTGGTGATGGGAATCAAATGGCTCCAAAACGGCAGCGGGTGATTGATCAGGGTTCTTCATTTTATGGGACTTCCCCGGGTTCAAGTTTCATGTACAATCCTCCTCCTTACTCATCATATATTGGCCAACCTCCACCGTTCCCTGTTGTCCGACTTCGGGGGCTTCCCTTTGATTGCTCAGAAACTGATATTGCTGAGTTCTTCCATGGTCTTGACATAGTTGATGTTCTATTTGTTCATAAGAATGGCAAGTTCACTGGGGAAGCTTATTGTGTTTTGGGGTATCCTTTTCAAGTTGATTTTGCCCTTCAGAGGAATAGGCAGAATATTGGCAGGAGATATGTTGAGGTTTATAGAAGCAAGAGGCAGGAATACTATAAGGCAATAGCAAATGAAGTTTCGGACTCTCGTGGTGGTTCACCTCATCGCAGTATCCCAAAAGCAAAATCATCAGATGAGGGGAGGGACTCAGCAGATACAGGGATATTGCGATTGAGGGGGTTGCCTTTCTCAGCTGGCAAGGATGATATCATAAAATTCTTTGAGGACTTTGTGCTGACAGAAGAGTTGATTCATATTATGGTTAATTCAGGGGGGAGGCCAACTGGGGAAGCATTTGTGGAGTTTTTGAGTGTAGAAGATTCAAAAGCTGCAATGGCGAAGGATAGGATGACACTTGGGAGTCGCTATATAGAGCTGTTCCCTTCGTCACTTGAGGAGTTGGATGAAGCAGTTTCAAGGGGCCGGTGACTATTTTTATTTGCTTTCGCTTTTGCTATTCATTTAATTTTTATATCTCTAATGTCATGGTTATATTTGGATTATAAATTGGTAGTTTGAACTCTGAATTGAAGTAACAAACTTTCTTATTTGTTGTTTCCATTGCAAGATATCTTGTGTTGTAGAGAATAGTCATTAAGAGGTTATGGTATTTATTTTATTTTTAATAAATTGTTTTTAAAAATAGCAGCTTCTATCAGAGATTGACTTGTAGGTGCTGATTTGTAGTCAGTTAAAGATCTCCTATACAATGTTATGCATGTGTTAACATTCTCATTATTACCTTGTTTTTTGCCGTGATTTAATCAATAATTTTAATAAGTTTACTTTTAGCTAAAACAATTTAATTTTTTCGTCTTTCTAATGTACATTTTTGTTGTCTGCATAGTTTATATGGTGTTCAGATAGACAATTGAGATGGAGTAATTTATATTACGGATACTTTTTCTTAATTTTAACAAAAATAAGTGCATTTGTTGTGCATATTGCATTGCATGGTGTATTGAGCAGGCCTGGAAGTTAAAAAAATAAAAATAGGATTAATTTAGTCTAATATTGATCAAGTTACTGTTATGTGGTTTTTGATGTTTTATGAACTCTGATATGCATATTGTTGCTTAGGTTGGACATATATATAGTACAAAGTTACATGCATGTGTATGTGATACACACCTTGTTCCTCAGGAGCACATATATGCAATTTAAATTCACATACATACATGCAGGTGTATGTGTTGAAGGATTGATATAGAGCAACATCTACTTACATGATCGGAATTAACTTTCTTGACTGATATCATTAGATCTCCATAAGCTGATGCTAAATTGGTTTGAAACACTGGTTTCATTTCGAAGCTTTTTTTTATTTTTTATTTTATATATATATATATATAAAATGATACTACCTTATTTGGTGATGGTTGAAACATAATTACTAATACTATCTAATTCAAAGCATTGAGGATCGGCTTAGCGATTGGATTTGGGGAATTCTGACACTTATATTTGAAAGTGCAGTTCTTGAAATAGATTTGGGGTTGAAATTTTGAAGCTTGGTGTACTTAATAAAAATAAAACCAATGCTTGGTTGGGAAAGGACATCTATATTTGCATCAAATATGAACTAAAAGAGGGAGAATATTTGTATATTAAGGGGATAAGTGATCTTTTTTCAAGATGGATTTAGGGAGAAGGGAAAGGGATATCTATAGTAACAACCATTGCCACTGCTGCTGTTAGCTTAGAAAATCATAACTATTGCATCTGTTTTAATGCATATGCAATCACACCAAATTCATAACTTCTAATAGCACCCACGTTTCCATCATTATGTGAAATATTCACCTTCTTATTTGTCTTCTAGTCCACATCAACTTATTATCACCTTCCTGTCCGTGTCATTTTTTCAACAAAGTACTGCTACCATTATTGCAATTGTCATTGCAATCATACTAATCCCCAACACAATCTCTACCTTACAAACAACTCACAATATCATGTTGAGCCCAGTCAACTACTTCCAGAAAACAGACTGAAGCTAAGCTTCTGATTTCTACTACTTAAAAAATTATTTTGCTCACGACTCATTAAAATGTGAAAATTCTGTTTCTACATATATTAGAATGTGATGATTCTAATTTTTGAATAAATATCCGAGTCCTTGGTGATTCTCTGACTATTGCTGCAGTGTCTTAATGTTCAAAATAATTACCATATTTTTCTTTTCCTCTTGTTGGGAGGATGGAGATGGTTTGCATATGGAGCTTGTGATCATATGCTCATTTGACCAAGCTATTGGACTCTTGGAAGAAGATACGTCTTTGGCTTGGTTAGTAGTGTTAGTTATATTATGAAGTCCTGAGGATTGCTGACATCTTTATATTTATGGAAGTTTAGGATATTTTAGGATTGGTCTTTTTATTAATTGCTCAATCATGTGGTGTTTTTAGGGTTTTATGAAGGGAATTTGAGCCCTATTTTAGTATTATAGTTGGTACAAGAACTTCTAAGAGGTTTCTAATTGTTTTAGGATTTAATGATGTCTATAAATAGTTCTTGTTGGTGACAAAAAAAGGAAGTTTTTCAAAGATAAAATTCAGAATCTCTCTCTCTCTCTCTTGAATATGTCCTCAAACCTGTCTGTTCTCATCTCTCCTCTTATCTGCCCTCATATTTCTTCTTACTTGTCTTCCTTCCTATTTTTTCTTTTCTTATCTATCCCTATCTCTTTTTCTCTCTATCTCATGGAAATCTTCTTCCTTCCTATCATTCTCATTCTCTATACTTATTTTGCAATAGCCTAGTTAGGGCTACATCAGTGGGGTTGTTAAAGTGATATGATTATTATGTTGAATCAAGGTTTCTGAGAAGTTAAGAGCAACATAATACATGTTAAGTGATCAAATATCTCCTGATAGACTCAAATTGCTAGGATTTATGATATCATGGTTCGTCTCTAAGAAGTACAATGCAAACAGCATAAGTTTTGGTTCAGCAGAGAAAACTTCACAAAAAGAAGTAGATTCTTTTTTAGGAGTATGAAAACAGAGTGCACCTTTTGTTTTCGTTAGCCACAATAGTCATTTGGTTTTCAATCCTAAAGAGATTTTTCAAAAATAATCAACATCATTAAAATAGGAAAGATCAAAACTCTGGGAAATGATTGATTTTTGTATTGTCATTTCAGAAACAAATATAAAGAATGATGAAGGCAAAATATGGAAGGAAGAAGGAAGAAAGTTTGATTATAATGAGATCATTTTATCTATTCTGCTGGTTCTCAAAATTGAAAGAAAGGATAATGCAAATTAAAATGAAAACAATAATGAAAACATACAAAGGGAAGAAAGCTGATGATTAGTAAATTATTATTATTATTAGTATTATTTAGATTTTTTGAACTATCAAGCAAGGTGAATGTACAAACACCTTGGAATGTGCTGCCATAAGTATAGCTCAGAATGTGGGAGCCAAAAAATTAATTTTAATCAGGAAATACCAACGAGACAATTTTGTGTCCTGCGAAATGATCCATACAGTTCAATGGTAACTCCATGCTTATCGTCTATATCTGAAGAAATCTCTACCCCCCCAAACAATTTCAAGCTAAATGCTAATGTGTTATGCTTCTGGAAGTTCATACAATGGATGTTTCCACGGTATCTACTTGCTCTCTGATGTTATTTGGCTTGGTCAGATGGATATGCATTTGGGGCTCTTAATGTAAATCTAACAACACAATTTTTCATACATATTGGTCACTGGTGAGACATCTACTTTCTTTTTTTTCCTTTTGAATTTGGGTGATGTTATGTTTAGGAACAGATTATGCTATCGATTTTCTGTTGTTTGGATGAGTAGTTGCTCTCTAATGAAAACTAACTTGCCAATTTAAATTTTTTATTTTATTTTATTTTATTTTTTATTATTATTTTTAGTCTTAAGAAGAAATGGTAAAATGTCTAAGTTGCCCTAGCAACATTCTTTTCATACAAATTGACCAGATAATATTCTTATTTTATTTTTAAATTTTTTATTTTTGGGGGATGTCTTCACTTTACCGTTGATTTAATAGTTACTGCCTTTGTATTTGTTTTATTGTTCTGTTCATATGTTCATATACCTTTCCAATAGTAGGTTTCTGCTATTATTTTTATTTTCTTTAATTTCAGCATGCATGTCCTTCAGAGTACTTGCCTGGCCTGCATACTACTTCATTGATGCTTAGGTTGGTGCCTTGGTTACTATAATGGCCATATTCTAGACTGACTTGAGCATTTGACAGTTATTGTTCTTCAATAATCATTTACATGCTGTATAAATGTTTCCATTTGATTAGTTCCTTAGTATTTTTTTGAATGACTGATATGTATATTTCATAGTTACATTTTTAAAAAAGTCTCTTTTCACGTGCACCCTAAAGCCAAATAAAATAAAATAAAAAAGAAAGAAAGAAAGATTGGTTCCCATAGAGGAGGGTAGGAAATTTGGAGAAGCGTCAGTCAATATTTTTTTGGGGTGGGGTGGGGTTGTCACGACCCACCTCGTTGTGTCCACTTTGCACCCTTTCCGTGCTCACGGTTTCAAAACGCGTTTGCACAGTTAGGAGGCATCCACACATGTAAGTGCCAACAACTCTTTCCCCAATGCGATGTGTCCGCTTTTGGCCCCTAGCGTCCTCACTGGCTTGATTCTTATGGGCTTGTGCTCACTCTCTCTATTTTCGGCTGGGTCAGCTTTGATACCATCTATCATGACCAGCCCCGCTATGTAGATATTGTCCGTTTTGCATTCTGTGTATTCACGGCTTCCAAAACGCGTCTGCATAGTTAGGAGGCATCTGAACATTTAAGTGCCAACAGTTAGGGGGTGGTTGTGGGGGGGGGGGGGGGGGGGGGGGGTTGGGGGTTGTTATTATAAATGTTGACATAGAATCTGTAAATATATACCTAAGTTTCAGTAAATAGGCCTATAGAATAGAAACTCTTAAAAAAAGTTGCCTTAGTCCCTTGAGTGGTCCACCCCTGTTTATAAGATGGGGCGTAAGCCTCAAGACCAAACTACACCCTTCTTTTAATTTATGGAAATGTGAATGCAACTAAATATAACATAAAAGAGGGAAAATACTAGATAAGAAGTAATGTGATATATGTAAAAAACGTATCTAAACTTTCTGAAAATTTTCCCAAATAGTTAAATGCGTATAAAGATTTTACATAGGAGTTCCAAATCAAGTATAACATGACTCAACCAAGAAACAAATTAACTATAAGAAAAGATTAATAAATCTGAAGGTGGATAAAATATTTTTCCTTCCATCTCAAAAATATAACTGATGTATCCCTTTTGTATGGCTCAAAATTATGGTTCATTGTTTGGCCCGAATTTTGTTTCGGTCCAACTCGCGTTGCGACCCAGTTTTGACCCAAAAAAAAAAAAAAAAAAATCTGACCTGTTTTTCGCTTGCGGTTCTTGGACTTGTTTAGAACTCTCTTGTAGCCCGGTATATAAGGGTGTTAACGGTTTGGAGTGGGATAATGAGAGAACGCTGGAAAAAAAATGTAAATCCATCGATGATATACTTGATTTTTTGGATTCTTTGAGAGTTTAGAGGTCCTAGTTGGCTTTGGGTAGCTTTTGAGGGATGCATTACCCTTTTGAATTTCTTCTTAATACAATTTTACATAGCGGAACCTTTTGCCGGATCTTCATCGTGGAGTAGGCTTACGCCCTAAGAAGCACAGACACGGATACGATACGACACGGACACGGCGACACTGCAAATCCAAAAAAATTAGGACAAGGACATGGCGGGGACACGGCGAATAATGTGTGTGTGTGTGTGTGTGTGTATATATATATATGATGTAGTACTTGAAAAAATACCGAGTGTTACTATTTTTCATCAACATCACAATGAAAAAAAAAATACAAATCATAACTCATAACTAATAACCTATAAAAGAACAATGTTGCAGAGTTATAAAACCAAATAAAAAACAAGACATTAGAATAATAACTAGTATCATTTAATTACAAGTTTAAAATTATTATGTACCGACCACATAAGTGAGTAAAAGTTGTTAAATAACTTCACATATTTATACTTTAACCCAATTTTCTTTCAAAAATTATCTTTTAGACCCCCGAAAATAAGACATGTGTGTTGGACACACACCCCTGGCGTGTCGGACGCGTGTCCGCGGAGTGTCCGTGCCGTGTCAGAGCTGTGTCAGAAAATTAAAAAAAATAAAAAATTTCAAACACGTTTTTTGGTGTGTCCGACACGTGTCGGACACGGATTCTTCGCCTATTTTGGCGTGTCTGTGCTTCCTAGTTACGCCGAATGACATAAATATTTGTATTCTTTGTGTGGTGTATTTACTTTTTCTGTCGTAATTCTTTTCTTGTTCTTGATTCGCTGCTATTGTCGTAACAATTGTAAATAGGCACAATTATTTATTCCTAAATTTCCCACCCCTTTTTTTAACAAAACTAATTACAACTTCACCACAGAAAGTGCAAAACCACATAAGGACTAAAATGGAATATTGAACATATTCAGTAGGCTTTAGTGGATTTAATGCACTTTCTAAAAATATTTGTTTTTTGAAAGTGGACAATAATTTTGAAACCGATGTAACAGATACTACAAATATCAAAAGAATCATTGTTGGTTACTTCAATGTTTTAAGGAATAATTTAAAAGGCGGGTTACTAGGAGGATTGGCCTACATGTAAAAAAGGTGCAATGCACCCCTTAGTTATGCCATAGTTCTTGAGTTATTTACCTAAGAAGACACTTGTTTAAGTTTTCAGGTTCCCAGTAGTTGTGGTACCACTTTGCCATGTGGTGAGCATTATTAAAGCTTTTAGAACATTGCTCTAATCCAAAGTTTCAAAAGCTGTTCAACGGTTTTTTGTTTGTTAGGGATTGTAGGGATATCACATTTTGGTTTCATGGAAAGATAATTACTCTCTTCCATGTTCGTTTTTGTGACTTGTCAATATTGGTTGCCTTGAGCAATACTTGGTAATAACAAGGGTGATTTTCTTCAACTTTCCCTCACGACCAACTCTTGTTTAATATCAAGGGATCGAGGTTTTAGATATAAGAGAACCCTTATTTATGATCAACTTGGTTGGTTGCAGCCATTAACTGTTATATATTGTCCCTGCTACTCTAATTTTGAATGAGACAGTTCAAGGTGTAGGTTATGTTTTCTAGGAGCATGTTTCCTAATCTATTACATGGGTATCCTTGTGAAGCTAAGAGGAGATAAGAGCTCTTATAAAACAAATAAAAAAAGGACTAAATAGCCTGATATGATTTCTTTCATTGAAGCATAATATAGGTTTATATTTTTTTTGGTGTTTAAATAATTATCTCAGTGATCATGAAAATATTGAGTTCTTAACCTAAAGTTCATTATATGCTGAATTGAGTGATCTCCAACAAAAATTGGCTTTTACTAGTTCCTTTCTACAATTCATTTCAGCTTCGTTCTTGAAATCTTAGAATGACTTTGCAAGATCTTATGACCATAGCAAGCTTATAGTGTAAGGATTAGTCCATTTTTGTTGTAGAGGAATCCCTAAATTTAAGTGGATAATTTTTATTGGATGAAAAATATTCATATAATTTGCAATAATTTCAAGATGGGTGTTTTTTCTCTTATATGTAGGAAAAAGGAGTGTGTGCTTGATGATATTATTTTATACTCTAGTGCAAGTCAAGCTGTTGCTACTGACAACCTTTAAAATGCATGGGATTTGTGTTCATTTCCTTGGTATGCCAATCATCAAATGTCCATGTAGCTTAACATTATGGAAGTATATGTTTCTAGTTCTTCTTAACTTGGTATAATGATAGGATGACCATGACATGACAAATTCAGGAATTGCATAAAATATACATATGAAACTGCATCCTATTGTGCAATGTTGGCATCTTTGTCTCGGTCCTCAATTTTGGTCAAATTTCCCAAGTAAAAAAATGATTGCTGTCTAAGACTTGTTTATATCCTATTATTCTGTTATGTCTGGTAATCTAAATATTATTTTGTGGCACTATGGGTTAGTATGAACATGGCTTTGATAGTTAATGAATTGCTTGCAGATTGCAATATGAATTTATATGATGTGATTTTGGCATCTTTAGGGTTGTAGCATGTAAGATTCCCTAAAGAGATAGATTGAAAATTGGCTAGGAAAGTTTCACTATTTTTTATTAAGGTATATTTGGAATTCTTTTATTGTATTATGCATTGGATGTATTGAGTATTTATGTTTAATTCTCATTGGAATTTTTGAGAAAAAAGAAATTCTTATAAAGGATTTAAGAACTCTGATGCCTAACTATTGAGCTTTTTTTAATCAGATCCAATAATTCGTACGGGTCAAAATCTTCCAATGAGGGGAAGGATTCGACTGAAGAGACGGAGGTATTGCGAATGAGGGGATTGCCATTCTCAGCTAGCAAGGATGATATTATGGATTTCTTCAAAGATTTTGTGTTGTCAGACGACTTGATTCATATGACGATTAATTCGGAGGGTAGGCCGACTGGCGAAGCATTTGTGGAGTTTGCTAGTTCAGAGGATTCAAGAGCAGCATTGGCTAAGGATAGGATGACTCTCGGGAGTCGTTACATAGAGCTCTTCCCATCATCACTTGAGGAGTTGAATGAAGCAGTTTCAAGGGGACGGTGACTTATATTTGTTGCCTTTTTCCTCTTGCTGTTCTGTACTTGAATGATGGTGGTTTAATGTCATATAAATGGTTGGCATCTTGAAATTGTAATTTACTTTATTCTGAAGTTATAAGCTTTTTGTTTGTTGTTTTAATAGCAAAAAGTAGTAGAAATAATGAACTGGTGCATATTTATTTAGCTGGGCTTCTGTATCATTTTGGTTCAATTTCGGATCTTTGTATCTAAAGCTATGCTTCCTCATCATTTTTATTTTGCCTCTATTTTTAATGCTATGACTTGAGTACAATAAGTGGCTCACAAATATTTTGCACCAAAAACATTTAATATTAAAATAGGTGAGCCACCCAGGTGGTGGTTGGTTCTCTTGCTCCCTGTTATCTTCTATTTTTCTCTCTATCTCTGCCTGAATAGTTGACATGTTATCAGAGCAATAACGATCAACACTAGGGTTATGTTATCAGAACAACCCCTTAAAACTCTTTCTTTTGTTTCTCTTTCCTTGGATCAGAATTCTTGTTTGAGGGGTTGACACCGTCAAGCCCATTGCATACAAGTTCCATGGTTCGTTTAACACTGTTGTGAAGGCCATAAAGTCACATTCTTCAAGGTATGTTCATAAGTCACATTCTTCAAGGTATGTTCATTTTGGATTCGGAATCAGTTGTGTTTATGTTGGTCCTGGTTTGTGGTTAGTTTCGTTGTGAGATTTGATCTTTAAGGGTGTTTTGTTGTGAAGATTATTTTTTAAAATTCTCTCTTATTTGTTTCCACTTTTTTCCATTTAGTGATCGCTTTATCAAGTGTTTGACATGATGTACTGTGCTGGCAGCTTACTGTTCAACAAGTTACTGCTTATTTATAACGTTTCTGGTGGTGCTAATTGAAATGTAGTGCTTTTTGATGGTATTCTTGGTTTTTTCATGTATTTTTCTTTTTGGGACTGTGTTTAGTATATTGGTAAAATGAAAGTGTAAAACATGTATTCTTTGGATGAGTGGTTATGGCTGGAACAGGTAATTAGAATGTTTCCAGTATTGAATTACAAATGTTGTGGTACGTTTTAGGAGCTAAGAAATTGTAGGTTCATTTTGTCCGATATTCCCATGGATGAGGAAGAGGCAGAGGCTGAGCAATGATAGTCTTATATAATTTTTTTGATTATGACCTAGTGTGGATGCAAATATAATGTTCACAAATACTATGGTGATTTGGGTTGCGATTAGTGAAATATATTCGGTGCGGAAAAATGTTTGTTGCTGCTTTTGGTCACTACTTGATTGCCATTTAAGGGGATATTGATTGAGCCAAATCAATATCAACCACACTGATATCGAGTCTTGAAGAAGTAGTGTAATTTTTGGTGTCTATATTCTTTACCCTTTAGTTTTAATTGATTATTCAAGGGTGTTAAGGGCCTTAGAGGGCAAATAAAGTAGAATGTTTATAATGCTTTTGCTCTACTTGTCTGAGTCTCATCTGTCAATTAAGTTACTTCAGATCAATATCCTATACTCGATCGTGCACTCTCCATCCTTATTGTATAAATACATTTGGGTCATTTTTGGGGGGGGGGTGGGGTAAATATGGATAATATGGAAATATGTGAACATCTTTTGATTGTGTATACGCGTTTTAAAAACACACGGAGAATATAGAAATATGTCAGCATCTTCTAATTGTGTAAACGCGTTTTAGAAACCGTAAACACGGAGAATATGCGAAGAGAATAGTATCTATACATCAGGATGGGCCGTAAGCCCGTGGTTTCTGGGTATAACTTAATTGTACCCTTTTTCATTCTCATCATCATATCTTTGGAGAATGAAGGTGTTTAATTAGCATATAATCAATTGCAGAACAAGGGGGGTCATTTGGAATGCCGGCAACTCTGGGGTTGTGAAATTCAGGCATGAGTCTATGACATTGATTGACAGTAACTAGGTGTTAGAAGTTCTCGTCTCACATTGGATCCGTATGAAAAAACTCATGAGCTTATATGGGTAGATATGCATTAGTATTCAACAACTTGAGTTTGTGGGTGAAATGACAAGCGTCCAGTATGTTACAAGTGTTATTAGAGCTAAACTCGTTTATTGATCTGGTGTCATACAACTCATACCAAGTGTCCACCTGGGAGGTGTTTGGACGCTACCAACAACTTAAGCTTTTGATTTTTGATTTTTATTTTTTGGGAATTTACTCTTCATCTTTTTGGTTGCTTGACGTTTGTTTGATTGACAAAGTGAATTAATTTTAACTTTGGTAATTAGATAGACATAAAGTCAATTGATTTTTTTTTTCTTCTTCTATATATATATTTTAATCTTTTTTCAAGCAAAACAATTAAAATTGAATTTAGACACCCTTGGTTATATGCACCACAATCAGTCCCTAACATCTTCGTATGTGCAATATAAAGGTACCAAGAAGAGTGCTTGGGGGCTAACGCAAGGGTCCCTCATTCCACAGTTGCTTTATGATTGGTTGAAAAATCAAACACAACTGCAATAATTAAACTCATTAGTTCCATATCTCTTATTTTTATAAGACATTAAAACATAATTTTTTAAGACAAAACTATCCTTTTAATATTGTATCTTTTTGTTTCATTGGTCTTCTTCTGTGCCTCTCTTGGTCTATATATACATACATACATATATATATATACATATGCTCCATGTGAGTTAATTCACGCAACTTAGTGTGGGTTTTCAAGATTGTACATACTTTAAATGTGGGTTTTAGGAATGTAAGTTTTAATTGAAGTGAAATTATGGATTGACTTTTAGTTGAAGTGAAATTACGAAATTGACTTTTTTAAAATTTGTGAGATAGATGAGGATGTTTTTCAAAAAGGAGAGAGAGAAGGGGTAGTTTGGTTTTTAAAAGTTGTGTTTTCAATGTTCCATAAAAATGGAATACATTAATCAATAAGTTCAAAGGATAGCTGTTGTGATTTGTTTTTCAACTAATCACAAGGATAGGGGCAGTCACTTCCTCAAGTACCAATAGGCCCATGCATGCTTAATTATACATCCGTGCTTAATTATTCATCCGTATTAACTTCTTGACTAGTTAGGAAGATCAGATATAAAGATGGGACATATGTACGACACGATACGAACATAATGGTACAACAAATATTAAAAAAAATAAAAAAATATATGTAAAAAATAATAATATAATATAGGGTAAAGTGCACTTAACATGGTGCGAAAACCCCATTCAAATCACTTTTTTACAAAATCTGACATCAAATAATTGTAATATGGTCGTTCTGCCTTTTTACCCTTTCGAAAATGTCCAAGAAGTGTTATTATCTATATTGGCTCTATGTAGGGGGGTGTCAAGTGCGCGTCAACCTTATTTAACCCACTTTTGAAACTTTTTTTTTCTCTCTTTACAACTTGTTTCCTATATATATATATATATATATATATATATATTTCCCTACATCCAGTGGCGAGGGAGCATGTGCCTAGGGGGGCACATGCTCCCTTGAAATTCTGATTTTTTATACTATTATATGCATAAATTTTTGCTCCCCCACCTCTCTCAAAAAAAAAAAAAAATTCATACAAATTAGTGATAGGATGGGGCGATTTTGTCATTTACCAACCAAAGCCTAAGGAATTACTATTTTCTAGATGTGTCATATAATATAAAATATATTGTTTTGTGTTTTTACAAAGTCCAAAAGGTGGATTACCAAAATTAAGTCATTGATATCTCACTTTCGAGCCACACTCCTGACTTGAATGGTGCGTGTGTTGTGGGCCCGATACACTTACTCTAAAGGAAAAAAAAAAAAAGAAAAAAAAGAAGCAAGGGAATCATAGCATAGAACAAGGGAATCATTTAAATAAACCCATTATCTAAAAATTAGTCGCCTTCATTCAGGCGAGGCAGAGTTTGTGCATAAGAAGCTCAGGCCACTGCATTTAAAAGTGTCTGAAACTCCTCACTCCTCGTCCTCTTTGGTACACTCTCTGCAATAAGAGAATTATTTAAGTGATTGATATTTTTGTTTAGCGAAAAGATTGATTTGTGTTTGCGTCGATTTTTTTTTTTTTTTTCCTCCTATCAATTATACTCCGCCCCCCCGAAAGACAATCCTGGCTCCGCCCCTTCCTACATCAGTGTATTATCTCTCTCTTAGACCTCTCTCTACAATAACCTCTCATAGAAATCATTGTATTCTCTCAATGTATTCTCTCTCCCCATCATCTTCAATCTCAAGAAATCATTCTTAATTTAATGTGACAGGTGGGACTTATCTCCCAATTTTTTCAAATTAGGAGTATTTTGTGCACAAGGGGGTTGATATGCACTCTAAGGATATCACAAGGATGTTAAGTGCACTTAATTTACCCTTTTTAAAATAATATGAAAATTATGTATATGAAGATATTTTGTCAATACATGTATACTTTAATGTGTTGGGTGGGATATATTTGCACATTTTTTTTTAAACTTGGGAGTGTTTTGTGCACATGAGGAGGTTGATAGGCACAATAAAGATATCATAGGAGTGTTAAGTGCACTTTACCCTATAATATATTATTACACGTAAATAATATATATCATTTTATCATTTTATCCACATTATCATGAATGAAATCAATAATTTGGAGCTTCGAGGTAGATGTTAATTTTCAAAAATAATTATATTATTTTTTTAATTAACTCATAATATATTGTTAAATTGCATTGGAATCACATTTTTTAAAGAAAAATAATTACAAAACTACCTCGCTTTGTCTTAAATGTGTTCCAAACATGTCATTGCGATGCCCTAATCGTGTCCAACTAGAAAAAAGAAAAGAAAAGAAAAGAAAATTTGGATTCCAAGATACTTCTAGTCGTGTCAGACACGTGTTACGGTTGTGTCTCACGTGCGTTTGAGTGTCTGATACCACCATGACACCCTTCTCTCTCCCTCTCTCTTTTATTTATTTTTAGTTAATTGGTAAGCTTGTATGAATATGAAAGAAAGTATGTACAAAGAAGTCACAAAAAATCCACAACCAAGCTCATAGTCCAAGAGCAAAACATCACAATAGATGAGCTCAGCTTGCTCGACAGCAAGCTAACCAACTATTCTAGGAATAAACAGGGACTTAAATGGCTAAGGTTAAACCATTAATCCATTAAACGATGGTGAAAAATAATATAACACCCATGATGCAAAAGCTACAACAAGACATCAAGTTTGTCAATATGAATTAGTTCTAAACTACTTC